TGGCTCACTGCGCCGACCCGGCAGTCAAAAGCGAGCTGGAGACGCTGATCAGGCGCCAGGGGCAGGGGCAGGGGCAGGGGCAGAGGGCCCAGTGCAAGACGTGCGGGCGGCACACCGAGGCCTCTCACACCGTGGGCAAGTGCTGGGGCTGCGGAGAAAGTATCTGCCCCTTCATGACCAAGCATGTCTGCAGGAGGGGTGGCTGACTGAAGATAAAAGTTTAAAAAAAAACAATCACAGACTTTCCCCGGTCTCTGCTGGTTCTGAAGAGTTGAGGGAGAAGTTTACCGCTACACTCTTGCAGGTTTCGCAGTGGCTTTGCTGACAGGAGCACAGTGCTCGTGTTTCTGTACAGGCTTTTGCTTCCCCCATGTGCTTTACTGCACTTTACTGTGCTTTTATCGTGGTATACCACCGAAAGTAATTGATTTGCCGCAGTGGTGCACTCCAGCCGTGCCTTTTCCCCCTCCCGCCTGAGCCAAGCCTTGCTTACTTTTGCATTGGTGCAGTTGATCTTTTCTGCCTTGACGTTGGATCCTCCTGCTGCCCTTTTCGTGATGTAATGGCCGGCCTGAGAACACATGACACGCCGTGTGAGAATAAATAATTCAGATGCCGGTAGTGTGGCCCTTCTAAGGCCAGAGATTCCTGAGGCCTGAGCTTCTGTGACACAGACCTGGCTGTTTTTGTATGGGACACAGTGAGCAGGGCTCTACAGGGGGCAGAGAAGGTTACCCTGAAAAACGACGACTGCTGGCCCCTAGCCGTGATCTATTTCAGCCCAGTAGGTGGTGCACTCTGCCCCTTGGTTTGTGGATTTAATCTTACCCACGATGTTCTTTGTGCCACCTAAGCAGCAGATTTCTATTTTAGCTTTTATACTCCTTGAAATCCTGGAAAGGTCATCTTTTAAAGGGTCTTCTTCTAACCGACAGCCTCAGTCTGTCCGCAAAGGATGAAAAAAAACTGAGAAATGGAAATCTATGCGCGGGGAAAATAATTTCCTCAAACTCCCCCCTCTCCCAGACATGCATTGGCTTGACCGGGGTGTTTGATGTGATTTGCTTCACTAGTGAATGTGATTAGCCAAGGTGCTTGTTTCACAGATTTGTGAAGATAGTGTCTGCCCTCTGAAAGATGAATATTACGATGCGCTTCCTGGTGGTAACGCTCAGCAAACTAAGATAAAGCCCTTGTAAGACTGACATCTGATTGTGTGAGTATGATTAATATAGTCT